GTGGTGTCCTGCAGGTTACAATTTGAATCTGAGCCATATTAGCAGGAGTTAATCAGCTCCACCTTGAGACTTGACCAGACAAGTTTGCTGGATTGGAGCTGTGTAGGTAGTGTTGTGCCTCTGGTGATGAAGGCAGAGGGGGTTTTGTTTGTGTGTGTTTACGTACGTGTGCTTTATGCCTCTGCTAGGACCGCGCCTCACTGAGATAAGAAGTCCTTCTGACAAACAAAGCAGCAGCAGCAGCTGTCTCATGGATGGTTAAGATAAAGAATGAGCAAATATCAGAGCTAATACAAGTCAATTAGTTTTCAGGCATTTTCCCATTCTCCCCTTTCCCTCCCTTCCAAAGAAAGAGCAGCTAGTGAGGTGCATGCAGAGCTCTGCAGAGGTGCTGGTGCCTGCCTGGCTGTCCCGCTCCTCAAGCTCAGCTGTGCATGGAGAGGAGCTGCCCTGGGCCACAGTTGTCCTCCTMCCTAAGGCTAAAACAATTATTTGTTGGTTAAGATCTGTTCATGACAAATTTCTGCTGGTAATTTTCACAAGACTCAGTAAAGGGCAGTGTCTGTGTAATCAGTCAATTCTGGCCTCCCTGAGCTCTCACCTCCTCTGCAAGCAGATCTTCCTTTTCTTATTCCTTTCCACTGGCTGCTGAAGAAGCTGGAGGTGACCAAAAATGAAGAAGGTTTTCATTGCTCTTACCTCTCCAGAAAGTCAGCTGCTTGATAAAAGGCAGCAGTATGGAGCGATTGATTTTTCATGCATAAAAACATATTAGTAAAAGCAAGGATTACCCTTTACCCATGAAGAGTGACTAACTGAGAGAAGGGCATGGCATTAATCCTCTAATCCTCTCCAGATTTCTACTGGGAGACGTTTTGTCCTAAAGATCAGCACAGTCATAGAAATAATGCAGAGTAATCAGTCTCATCTTCTTCCAACCCCCATGCTTGCTTCRGGCTATTAGCAAATTAACAAAATCTTCCCAAGCTTTTACATGAGACTTACTGTGTCATTACTTAAAAATTAATAATAATAGTAAAAAAAGCTAAACTCTGCCTCACTTCTTATCATTCCCTATCTTCACCCCCTTTGTTATTACCAATGTGTCATACATCACTTTTTCCTTAGTCTGCATCTCCTACATTTGCTCCTCTAGTGGCTCTCCTGCTACCCCTCYCTCCAGGAGTGAATTCTCTGCTATTTTACATGAGAAATTTCAGTTTTCAAAACCATATTTTAAGCTGAGGTTTTACATCCTGTTGTCCCAAAAATGAAAATGTCCCKTACTTTATCCCTGCACAAGCACCACTGATTAAATTTGAGATGTTGCCTGTCTCTTTTTAACAGTCCATTACTATACATACTGACAAGGCATTGGTAAAGGTATGCTTAACCTGATTAACTGATACAAATCCACATATTATGAAAAAAAAGTTCCTCTTGATATGCAAAAACCATAAATGCTGGATTCTTGGGGGGCAGATACTAATTTTGGCTTTGCAGCTTCTCATAATTTTGATGTGGGTTTTCATCATGATAGTGAGATTCAAAGGGGAAGAAAAAGCAATGGGACAAGCTGTTGGCTTTAATCACAGACTGCCTRCTAAAAATTAATTTGCAAGAACATTTGCTGTTATACAAGAGCAATGCTGCAACATGGGAAAATAAACCAAATGCACTTTTTTTGGAATAAAGTGTAATCAAGGGAAGAAACAGTGCTGATGAGGAAGTTAAGGTCATGAATCCATAGCCTCTGAATGCAGCTGCACTACTGTCAGTGATGCTGACAGCATGTACAAATCCATAGGARCAGAAGCAGTTCCAAAGAACAGGAGGGTAGTTCTCCAAGTCCATCCCTGAGTCTCCTGTGGGATGCAGCTGATTGCATGTGGTCATTCAGATGGAAAAATCCTCTCTCACACACCTGTAGCATTTCAGGGTTTTATCATTATTCATTCATACTGTTTTAAAAGCAYGGYGAAGCAGAAAGTATGTATTTGTGAWCTTTTYTTCATGGTGTTGATCTGGGGTATTTCTCTCCTTGTCTGAAATTGGGCATCTGAAGCTTATTTGTGAAATTCTGACTTCCATRTGAGTGAATACATACATTTCATTCTAAATGCATGTTGCAGAGAAACTGTGACTACCTTTTGGACACTGTTAGGGCACATATAGTGAGTGTAGCATTTGTCTGCTCCTCTGTAGGAAGCTGACAGAGYAAAGGTACATGGAGTCTGATGCAATGGGTTCTGGTGCTCTGTSTTCCTTCATGGTGCCAGAAATCATGAATGTGTTCCCAGTGTGAATGGGAATATTGTGACAGAAGCCTCAAATTACACAGTTCTTCTCTGCATTGAGCATGGCCATAAGGTGACCATTGTCCCATCATATGACCTGGGGTGTCGTGCTGGACACCCTGGACACCTGGAGTGGGAGCTTCAAGGAAAATACATCCTTGCCTGGAAGCAGTACTCGATGCAAGTTGGAGTTTACTTCTGCAGAGTTAATTTTGAAGGAACTCAGATGAATGCTACTGATGTTGATGATTTGGCTACAGTATTTTTTGGTCGGATCAKTTTCCTGTCCTAGCCATTTATGTGCCACCACAAAGGAATGGAAATGTGTGGCCAGRGATGTGGGGAGTTGAGATTCCCATGTCTGACAGAAACCATCTCTTTGCTTGACTTAAAAGGACTTGGAAAATGCTCTTTTAGTGACTGATGTCTTCAGCACCAACCAAGCTAGTTTTATTTGGGCAATTAACATGTCCCAGAGGACTTAATATGACYCTGGTGCCAGCTAGTCTGAGACTTGCTTGTGTTCAGTTATGTCTCAGTAAAGATATGAGAAATTCCAGTGATCAGTTAAGAGACTGCTGAACTGATCTGATCTGAGACACTARCTCAGTTGGCCCTTCTTGCTCCAAGATACAGAGGCCTAATTTTTCACAATTAACAGTCAACATTTTGTTAACATAGGCAAAACTGTTTGCTTTGTTTTTCCGGTTCCCCTCAATCTGATTTTCAGACATGTCCAGAGAATATGAGCTCTGGTTTTCCAAACATAACAATATCACAGGGAGTTTCAGTCAAATCAGTTAAAACTCAGGGGATCTCTTAACTGATTGCAAAGTCCTAACATGGAAAGCAGCAGGCAAACATAGTTTTTCTAGTTTGTTTGGCTTTTTTCTGGTGATGACTGGTTTGTATAGGACCTTGTAGCTAGATGTATGGGGAAAATATGGAAGTCTTTGTTTGTGTCCAGTTCCATCCCTTGCTGCTCCTTAAAACCAGCACCAGAATCTGAAAAMTGAGGATCCTTAGCTGCTGCTTGCACAATTGCTAATGTCAGAAAGCCTTTGGGGTTGTATCTTATGTCAAATGCAGCTTTCTTAAGGTCTAAGCCAAARTTAGAAAGTTCATAATGAACAAAAAAGTGTGATTATTGGTCTTCCTTGTGCCTGCTTTTCCATGTGAAGAAAATACATGGATTTCTTCAATGTAGGAGTTCATTTGATTTAAAATATACTTTATAAAGATATAATKACTACTGTTGAATGCTTTCAAGGTGCACTTATGTTACAGGATGTGCTCCAAAAACAGTTGGAGTTAGTTTGCTGGGAACAATGGTGCTTTTCTGGGGAGGGTAATTTTGGCATGTACCTTTGAAATTAACTGAATTCTGCTGCCTAGTGCACCCCTGRGTTTTATTTGGAAATAAAGATGTGTGTGCTACTCTCAAAGGTAATTTTTGTTTCCCTTCGAAAAGTTTCCATGCTGAACTSTCTCTTTCTGAGGCAATTAAACCAATCTTGTCGAGAGGGGCCTCCTTCCTCCTGCCCTGCATGACTCATGCTATCGTGGCTGCTCATCTCAKGTGCAGAATCTTGTGAAATGCGTTTTTGACTATCTAAATGTATGACATCCACTGATTTTGCCTTATCTGTTATGACAGGACTATCTTCTCAAAATGCCATCAAGTTGGTTAAGCAATACTTCCCAGCCCTACAGCCCCTACTTCCATAGATTTTAATCAAATTGTTTGTTTAGCAGGTTCTTTAATTACCTTCTTAAAATAGTTCCTCTGGGCTTTGTACCCAANAGGAAGATGCTATCTGCCAAGGGCATGGCAGAAAAGTGGGGAAATTAAGAATTACACCTCTGCCTAGTAATTTGCCTTCCCTCAAACATTTGGGCCTCGGGATTTTCCAACTCAGAGATCATTCCTGTGTGTTACATGCCCTGGACTGGTGGTTCTCCTAAGGGAATGCTTCCTCACCAAGCTGATGGCAGGCAAGTAGCAACTTAATTCACCTCCCCCTGCTACTGTCCACCGCAGTGACTTTCGTTTACACCCCTAAAGTTGTCTCCAGAAAAATATCTCTTCCCTTCCCTTCCCTTCCCTTCCCTTCCCTTCCCTTCCCTTCCCTTCCCTTCCCTTCCCTTCCCTTCCCTTTCTTCCCAGAAAAATTGATGCTTCTCTCTTTTTTTGCATCCTGAGGACTCCTTTTTTGAAAAAGTTTGAGGAAATGTAATGCTTGCTTTGTCAGTCTCCATGATTATTACTTGTGAAATATGTTGCTTTGCTTACTTCTAAGCAGAATTTTTGTATTCATAAACACACACATACTTAAGTTTCTGTCATTGTTGTGTCTTCTTTGTAGAATTCACCTCAAGTAAAGCAAAAACTCAACTTTATTCCTTTTTAAGTACACAAACCACATAGTGCATAGCAGTTAATTCATCTAATCCCCAGTGCAAGCCCTGTATTCTTTGTTTCAGTCATGCTTCTGTGCTTCATGGCCCTGTTATGACCTGAAAATGTACGTGAGAAAACCTTTATCGATGTAGGGTTTGTTTATTGATACATTACTTGATAGGAATTCCACAGATGCTGTGGAGGATAAGCTCTGTCCTGAAGTTTGTAGTATCATTTTCAGAGCTTTGCTCACTGGTTTGTTATGAACAGATGCCAGTGAGTAATGGAGGAATGTTTTGCAGGTTATGCCTCCTCGTCCAGGATGCCTATGGAATGTTCAGTGAAGTGCAGCTGCAGTCCCTGAGTTCCACAGATGACATTGAGCAGTACTGCAGGAGATGGGAAGGAAAATCCTGCTGCTTAGCTGGAATGAAAATTTTGCAGAGAACTACAAGAGGAAGGTGAGAACARTGAATGGGAGAACGTATTGCTTGCTGTGGCAGGCAAAGATGATCAGCCTTTCTATTTATTTCTGTGACCACCATTCTTTGGAACAGCTGAACCTGGCATGGTTCAGTCAAATGTCCACATTGCCCCTTCTGGAGCATCCAGCTATGCTCAAGCCAGCCATACTCTGAAATGAGCACAAATAAGCTAAAATGAGCACAAATACACACWTAGCAGAGTGAGGAATTACTGTGTGCAATATTTCATAAAATATATGTGTTTTCTCCATCTTCAGTAGATTCAGAKATTTGAAAACATTAGTTCACCTCCCTTTCATTGCAGAACTTTTTACTGCACTGAGTGTTTCTGCAGTGCTGCCCGGTATGGGTTGAAGTTTCAAGAACAGACTTTCCTTTAGTATATGAGAGATAATTCTATTAAGTCTGTATGGTTTTAGAACCACAGTTTCAATTTCTTTAAAAAAAAAATCTTGCAAATCTTAAAGCCATTCTTATTTTGAAATAAGAATATCAACAACTTTATGAAAAATCCCCCCAGGTGAGTAACCAATTGACTTATGGTACATGTCAGATTTTGCTTATTCTGTGATTTCTCTTACGTTCTTCAAATAAAATAWCTTTAGTCAAGAACAAAAGTTAAATAGATTGATTATCTTACAGAGTATCTTTCTAAGGAGAATGATACAATGTTCTCATGGGGACCTATATAAATATAATTAGATTGGTTCAGTTCTCAACATAATTTATTRGTACAAGCATCCGATCTAGATAAGCCTTTGCTGTTAGAATGGCTATGGTATTTCTGCTGACACTTTTTTTCCTGTTGAAAAATGCTGTTTCATCAAAACCAGAATGTTTCATGGAAACATTATCTATTTTGGAGACAGCTTTGTTGGGAAGATTGTTTTCAGGTCCAGAGGGAGTGAATATTCTTTCTCTCATTCTCATTTCACGAAAACTTTGAGAAAGTCTCATTTTTRTTTCATATTGGAACAAAAACAAATTTCAAAGCCTTGAAATGTTTAGCAAAAGGGAATTGTTGTTTTCCAGCCAGCTCTATTCAGTATGCTTTTCTTTTTATGTACTTGCAGTGTTAATTTTCAGAGCCTTTGGATTTCGAGCCTACTTGCGTTTTTATGGATCTTTAATAACAAACACATCTTCTTATTTAATTATTTTRTTGACTTTTTTTTTTTCAAGTTACATTTTTTCCAAACAAATTAAATAATGGCTTTGGAATTCTGGATACAAATGAAGTTTTACAACTGGCTGCTGGTGCTTCCAGTACTCTGCCTAAGTAATAAGAGACAGACTTTTTCTAATGTAAATTCTGTTTCAAAGCAGCAGTAACTTACTTCTGGCTATTCTGAGGACGTTTAGAAGACACACTGCTGAAAATGCYGGTGGCTCAGCTGGAGCTGTGCTGGTGGTAACCCTGCTAGGAAACATTAAAAGAAAATGGGTATAGTGTAGCTTGGGGGACAGTGCAGTGGTTAAAACGTGATTTCATTCTACAGGATGGGTGGGTGGGGGAATTGTTCAGGGATTTTTTTTTTTTTCTTAATTGTTCTAGCCGAAGTTCTGCTTTATAACTTTTTATTACTTTTAAGTGTTTGGGACACATTCTAGGTGTGACAGAAACCACAGTAAAGCCGTAGCTGAAATGAATACAAGGGAGTACTTATTCTAGAAGAGCATAATTAAGCTGTAGAACTCATTGCCACTGGATAAATGGATTTCCAGAGCCAGTGGTGTATCCGAGCACATGATGGGATATGCCTGTGAGTGCCCAACCTTGGCTTGCAGCACATGAGTGAGTAAGAACTATGTGGTCTGCCCTGCAAGAAAGACTACTGCCCTTTTTCTTTTTTTTTTTTTTTTTTTTTTTTACCAATTCCAATTACTTTTTGGGAAGGAGATGGCTTTTAAACTGTTTGTTTCCTGGAGTCTGACAGTGGCTTTTGAAGTGGATAAAAGGGAAGAAAATGTAGGAAATATGAGGGGAAAGTAATGACTTTTTTTTGTGTGTGTGCCTTTCAAGCACATGATCTGGAGGAAGCCAGGAATGGCTAATAAGATCCCATATGTTCGTGTTGTCCCACAGTCACATGGATTGTAATCAGAGACARAGTGCTTCCTCAGTCCTTCTGTGAGACAGAGTAGATTTGCTAACAGATAGAAGAGATTCTCAAGCGTTTTGTATCAATGGACCACTGTTATTKTTCCAAAAATTTTCCAGGCCATCATCCATCCTCATCAACAAGCATTTAATTTAAAGTACTATTTGACTTCATTTTAGTAAATTCAATTTTTAAATTAGCGTTGTAAGCTGAAATTTCATTTCAAGGACCCCTATAATAAAGGGTGTTTTACATGAAGGAGAAAACCTGGCYGAACGTGTTACTTGATCTGTGGAATGGACCTGTTCTGTTAAAAAGTGCTAAAGAAACTGAACACATTTCTTCTCTGATAAGAAAACACTTGTGTTCCAAGAGAAAAGTGGGATGAACAGTTACACAACCATCTCCTGTCTTGACAAAGATCAGCTCTGTGAAAAATTGGAGTTATAGTAATCTTGYATTGAGAGAAACACTTTTAATGTTGAATATTGGTTTTGAGTATGCTTTTACAAATAGTAGGGTCTCAGATAGGTCATTTGAAGATCTTTTACTGATTTAGGTGGTTTTTAGAACAAGTTCTACACCCCACATCCCTGCAAGAAATGCTTCCCTTTGCAGTCTGGTAAAGGAAGTGGTGTTTCCCTTTGCAGTCGGGTTCCTGGCAATCCCGTAGGACGGAAGGGCAAGGCTGAGCCGTGCAGAGTTGCCATGGCTGGTTCAGTGCCTGGTTCCCAGCAGCTCTTCCTTCCACTGTGCTGTGTTGGGTAACGCAGGGAGCAGTGCTGTGGCAACTGACTGAGTTGGTGTGGCTCTGGATCTGCTTCCTGACACCTTTTCTCTTCACCCTCTGGTTCATACTCGTCCCTTAGCCTTTCCTGCAGCCATTCCCTGCACTGCACACTTAGTATCAGCAAAAAGAAAAAAAAATATAGTGGTTTAAAGGGAGAAGACTAAAAAATATTAGTTGAAAGGCTGCTGGTGCTGTTGGCTCCTTAGAGGCTCATKTTCTCACCCTCCCACTGCCTCATGTGTCAGTCTTAAATTCAGCCCCTTGAGGAAGAGGAAGTGAGATTTTGGGGGTGTGCTGCTRGAGGCAGGAATGCTGGTTAAGAATCCGTGTGCAGGACTGCAAATATGTAACCCCTCTGTTTTAATGGATCCCAGGCATGTTTCAGGTATGTCAGGTATAACCAGTAACTCAATGGATGCAATTAGATGCAGGGACTGAGCACTCACTGAAATGCCTCAGGAGTTAATAACCTATAAATTGTCATGGTTCCTGCTTCCTACCAGAAATTCATTTCAATGAGCTGARAAAATCTTTGTAGTTAGATACTTGTCTTTATCAACAAAAAAATACTGGTTTTTTTTTAACCCTACCTGTAGTTCCACAGAGAATAATAATTTGCATTTTGATAATCTGTCTCCTTTCACCTGATTTTCCAGTCATTGAGTTGTTTTTCTGCTGACTGTAGCAGATGTACCTGCTTCTTCTCTTTATGCTTTCTTCTGTGTTAGAAATATAAAGTATTTCTCTACAGCAGAACAGAAAGATAATAGCAATTTAAAAATGGAAGGGGAGGAAGAACACAGGGTGTTAATACAAATTTTGTCCCTAAATTGAAAAAAATGCTTAATAAGTTTCAAAAGAAGAGGCAACTGCTGCATGGAGAGTGCTAAAATCCACACTTGTGTTGGATAGGCTGAAACACTTTGAAGGACCCATCAGCTCATAAGCTTTGGCATTTGAGCCAACATTTAATTTGTGCAGGCTGTATTATCTGTTGCATTTGCCTCTACAGTAAACAGASTCTGTATTGAGTTCATCAGCCAGTGTTATGTTTTTCTCAGAAATTTCTGCATTTTCAAATAAAGTTGGCTTCTGTTGTTTGTCATTTTAAACTTTCAAATGTTAGACACTGAAATGTGAAATCTCCCCGTATGTTTGTAGTGGTTACTATTGTGCCTGAGGATTTAAATTTTTTTTTCCCTTTTTATTTAAGTCACATACTTCTCTGGCCTCTGTTTCTCTCCTTTTTTCCTCTATTATTCACTGTATATTCTCTCTTCATTTTGTTTTGCCCTCAGAAGTGAGGACCACTGCTAACTGCTGCACAAGTAAGTGTTTCAGCTGCTAGGCTTTGACAGGAAATGTAATAGTAAGAGCTTTCCGCAGAGCAAGGAGGTCATAACTTCCTTCCTTTGGTCTTCCCTCCTTCAAAAAGACTGCCATCTAAAAGATCCATCCACGTCTCTGGGTTTTGAGGTCCTGAAACACTTCAGTAATTGCTCTGGTTAAAAGTTGAATTTCATTTAAAGCATATTTGCAGTAATCACATTGAAGTTTTGAATACTTGCATGATTTTAAAAATTCATTTCTATGGCTGCTTGTATTTCAGAAATGAAGTTTTTTATTTCCTGAATTTTCTATTTGTTAATAAAYATGGAACTGCTGCTTGTATTTTAGTGCTTCTGTCATTAATCTATTTAGTAAGCAGCCCTGGAGAATAACAGGCATATCCTAATGAATCAAAAGTACTTTTATGTTGTAATTTCAGTGGTTTAATGTAGTACATGTAATTTCTAATGCACTATATAAAATTGAGTTATTGAAGTATGTAAATAAATATTTCCACAGAATAATTCCATATATCTAAAAACTTTAGGGAAAAAAGGTCAGCAGCCAGCCCTTCTTCCCTGGTTGTCTTTTAACAAAGGTGCTGGTTTAGTAAGCTCAGATTTTTGTGATTTTGTTGATTTTATTACTCAAGTCTGAGAAAATGTGGTGTTGCATAGTTTGTGCACTGCAAGATCTTAGTAGGTCAGTTAAAGGGAGAGAGAGAGCCCACGGTGTCAGCTTTATATTTGGATTGCCTGTCCCTTTACGGTTGAAGCTTATGCWGTCTAGGTGAGTATTGAGGAATTCCTTAGTTTTGCACAGAGGGCTAGGAATTGCTTTATTTTTGAGTTAATAATTGAGACTGACACTGCCAAAGAAAACTGTTYTGTTTTAGAAGAAAAGTTTAACAAGTAGGAGAGGAGGAAGCAGGGAAGTGCCAAGTCCTGAGTCCTCAGAGGAAAGCTGTGGAAGATGTTGGAAGAGAATCCCAGCATCTTTCTGTTCCTTGCTGTAAACCTTACACAGTGTTCATTTTTCCCCACTTTATGTGCCTTCTTTTTGCTGATATTGCTGATATTTTATTTTCTCCCTCTAGAAATTTTCCCCTGAGCCTGTTAGGATTATTAAAGTTGAAAAATCCCCCAAACTGTAAGCCGCATGTTAAATTTGGATCAGGCRTGGCACACATAAAGTTCTTGGACCAGAACTGTAGCTGAAACTTCATGCTTGTGAGAGAAATAAACAAAATCTTCTTAATAAGTTATGAAATAAGTTGTCAGGTCAGAATCAGTGAAATGCAGTTTTGAAAAATCAGAATTTGAAGTTGTTTGACTTYTGAAACACAGCTTGTAGTATGAAATAAATGAAATTCCCACAGGATCAGGCATGTTATGATAGTGTAAGTACTGGTTTATCATTTCTCATGTATTTAGGCTGTTTAACAGTATTATGACTTTAAAATTCTCTGCCTGATGTGTGGGTACACATTTACAGRTACAGAGAAAAGATATACTGAAGTTTAGCAAAGAAAGTTAAAGTTGAGAGCAATGTCTTTTGAGGACATTGGGTAATAAAAATAATTAAGAACACTTAAAAATTATTTTGCACATGTATGTGCATGCACACACAGACATAAAAATCTCTTTATATATAAGCAAAGCTTGAAGATGTGGATTTACAGAAGAGAGGCATACCTATCTCTCCATATTTCTGTGGAAATCTTTATTGTAACACTCCACTGGAGTTACTGGTAGTCTTATAGTGCTGTATTAAACAATGGAAAAAACACGTATTTGAGATGGGACAATTTTTTTTTACCTAACAGATTTAAGTCCGGCATGGAAAGTAGGGAGTTGAATCTGTCATTTAGAATCTGATAGATGATTTTTGTCCTCCTGCTATGGATTCAGTCTCTTTTTCTTTTTTTCAAGAAAAGTTATAGTACTACAATACAGCCCTAGTCTCTGAAGTTAAAAAAAAAAAAAAAAAAAGAGGTTATTCAAAATACCATACATGTTCTTTTTTCTTTTTTATCCTTGATCCTGTTTCTTCTCACCTTTTATTCTGCTTTTCTTTTGAAGTCTGTCCTTTCTGTGGTCATTTTTTTTTTAAAGTAGCTAGTCATTTCACTCACAGAGCAAAATCCTAACATTTTTATTTTGTCTTCTGTAAACAGAGAGGCTCTAAATGCACGTGGGTGCTCACCCTGTCCCTTCACTTTAGCACAGAGCCAGTTGTTCATCTCTTGTCCTGACTCTGTAGCTGAAGAAGGCTACACATATTGAATAAACTACACCTATTGTTCAAATCTGATTGATCTGGAGTTTGGGTGTTACTTGGCCAATAAAGAGAATGAATTTTATTTTTTCCATGAGGATAATAATTTTCTGTGAAGGAGGACACAATGTCATTTTCCCACTGTCAGTGCCCCCATTTTGTTCTCCCTTCTGCTGAGTTGAGGTCTGTAAGTGCAAAGAGAGAGAACTTTCCTGGAGGTGTTTGAGTGGTGGAGCAAGCAGGGAGCTCCTCACCAGGGACACTGACTGATGCAGCAAGAGCTCCAGGAGAGAACATCCCAGCTCACAGACAAGGATCACAGCAGGATGTGATTTGGAGCTTGCTAATCCTTTGGTTTGTCCCTGCCCTTGGCCTGACTGGTGTCAAAGGATGGGGCCAAAATGTTCAGGAGACTTACCCCACACAGCACTGATCTCTGCCTGCTTGCTAATAAATACTGTCATTWAGTATTAATTAGGTATTTTAAGCAGTAGATGGCCTTCTCCTAAAGGACACAAAGAATAGAAGAAAATGTACATATGCCTTAAATATTTTGATGTGGGGTGACAAGTTAGAAGTGAGCTAAAGAAYAAAGGATAACTTCATGCCCACTGTGAACACTTTAAAATGCACTTGAGGGATCAGTGTAAGGTCTGTGTGAAGATGTGAACATGCAACAAACAATGTGGCTCAGTTGCTCTGAATTGATAATGCAGTCTCTGTACACACAAATGCAGTTTCTGTACACACACGCACAGTTTGTGGTACATTCGTATCCATCCCCTGACCTTGTGGTGCATGTGGTGTGAGGAAGGCCACTTGTGTAACTCCCTGAGTCGTACAGGAGGCTGTGCTCTCCTTCTGGAGCTCTCTTTTTCATTTCCCAGTTAGCAAGACCAGTTAGTTTCCCAGTTTCCCAGTTAGTTCCTCTGGGCATTGGCCTTCTTCATGTCGGATCTCATTCTGTACAATACAAAACAGAAAATCTTGCCCCAGTCAAGGATTCAAGAAGTGATGAGCTTGCTGTAAAGTATCTTTAATACCTAGGAAATGTTGCTTTGTGTGTTGTAATGTCATCACTGTTAAAAAACAATAAAACAAACAAAACAAAACTTTAAAAACTCCAAACACCAAAACTACCCCAGTCACTCTCCTTTTACAGACTTGGGGATGATGTCATGTAAGTCAGAAGTCCATTTCTGTAAAWGAGCAGCACATTTGTGTCTCAATGTTTATTAATTCATGTGGAGAACACAAATAGAGGTAGCAACATTGTCTTTTTAGTCTGCCAGCTTGTTAGCTGAGCTGTTAGCCTCAAGTTTTATATCCACAAGATCTACTCTAAGATTTACAGCCATAATCTTCTTGCAGTGCTGTTCCAAAGGCATCACTATTAACACTGAATCACAGGCAGTGAAAAAACRTACTGAGAAGTTCACTGCAGACACCCAAAGTCAAAGGATCCAGAGAAAGACTAAGGAAATGCAGAAATAAAAGAGCTTAAGCAGAAGTGAGCTAAAAGCAGAAGTTTAAAAGGAAAGTTTCCATGACCCTTTGAAGAGAAGCAGCATATTGCAATGTGCTTTAAGCCCTGTAAACAGGGTATGTGGTTTCCTTCTGAACATTTGGGTTTAGAAGCTAATGCTACTTTTAACAAGTGTTGGACTTTATTTTTTAGAGTTGTTTCAGGAACAGTGGTTTTCTTAATTGGAGAAATGGACAACTTGTTCTTGGAGGCAGTGTGGGGTCAAAATCCAGATCTCTGTGCTTCAACTGCACAGAACAGAGAACTGGGACAAGATAACTGAGAGCTTTAACTCAAAAATGCATGACTCTTCAAGTTGGTTATCTGTAGCTATTTCCCCTCCCTCAGCTTCTCCTGCCTGTCCAGCAAAGATGCTCTATCAACTCACAAGATGGGCACTAAAGTGCTGCAAAGTGCAGCTTTCTTTGTTAAAGAGTCATCAACATCTTACCTTAATGTGCTTTAGTTTTATGTTTGCTTTTTAAATCAGAAGTGTGAAACTTGCAAAATTAATAAAAACAAACCATAACTAAGTGAGCAGCTGTGTAGGAAGGAGATCGTTCTCTGCACATGTGCTTAACATGAAGAAATCCTGCCTGTTTTTTATCTGTATCTGATAATTGCTAACTTTCCTGAAAGCAGTTACAATCAGCTGTCAATAACAACAAAAAAAAACCTACCCAAACCCTCCCAAACACAATACCCACCCCCCMAAAAAAAACCAGTAAAAATTAAAATGTTAGAAGTAAAACTTTTTAATAATTAAATAGCTAAAGACTATTATTAAAAAGAAGTTGTCCTCATATCTGTGTCCTTCCCAAGCTACCATTTACCCCAATTCCCCTGAATTCTATCATGTAGCAAGCTGTTTGTGGCAGAGAATTAAGCATGACTTGCTTGTCACTGGATGTGATACTTCCCTTCCCTCCCTCTCCACCCTGCAGCAGAAACGATGGAGATTTAACTCGACCAAATCAAAACCAGCTTCCAGAAAACAAATATTTTTTTTTAAATTGTTTTCATAATCATGCAATGGTTTAGATTACATTTCTTAATGAATCTTTTTAATATAATGTGTAACTCTGGAAAACATTTAAAACCTGATTTTATTGGTCTCTTTGAAGGGCATTAGGACTGTTTAGTCTGATAGACAGTCTGTGGCCTCCAGTAGTGCCTGTAAAAGTTCCCGGACAAAGTCAAGAGTCTGACATGGTAAGTTTTGTTATTATAGATATGAACACTTTCATTCACAACTAGTATTTTTGGTGGTGGTATAATCATGTTTACTCTGGGAATCAAGATTCTCTCCTTTTTTACCTACCAAGTTTCATTTTACTGATTCTGACAACCTCCCAGGCTAACCTGAAGCCCTCTGGATCAGCAAAATCTTYCCAAAATGATGCATTTAGCCCCTTRCGAATCMTCTAGAGGTAGAATTATCAGATGTCCAKACAAATTCTTCCTCTCTTCTTTCAGGAGTAAAGAGATACTAGGTATCATGGAGCCTGCTGAGAAATCTGCATACAAGGATATTATCTCATTCTTTGGAAGCACTTTTTAGCCTTAGGTTCAAAAGCACTTTTCTGAAGATTGACTTCTGTGAAGATTGACTGCTGGAATTAGGTCTCTTACTAGTTAGGATGACTTTGACTGATACTTTGATTTCATGTGAGGTCAGAAGAACGAACACAGATGTAATTACTAAAAATTAATTAATATATCTAGGGGGTGGGGGAGTATAGAAATGGATTTAAAGTATGTTAATATGCATTTGCAAAGCTAAAATCCCATCTGTAATTTTACTTCAGTTGGCTTTTGTCTTTGAAAAAGAGTTCTGTCCTGTCAAGACATTTTGGTAATACGAGATCATTTGACAAGCTTCTGGGTAGCCAGGCTTGGGCTTTCTTGCTGTGCTTGTTTAGGCTGTTCTTTGGGGAAGAAGTTTGTGGTATTAAAATTTTGATTTTAATAGAAGAGTCAATATGGAAAGAAAAAGAAGACAAAAAAAAGAGCTGGAAATAAACAAGTTTCAAAACCAGGCAATATTGAAGATGGATATTGCTAGTTATTTATAAAGTCCAGGAACCTTTTCTCTGGAATGCAGAGTGTTCTTTGCATTGTCCAGGGGTTTATATTGAAGAATAAAAAGCTCAGACCTCAGTTATAAATAAAATCAAGACTGAAAGTGAGTGAAATAGCTGTGCTCTCTTGGACTCTTCCTTTCATCTAGACATTTTGGAAGTCTCAAAGGGATGGATGGGTTTGTGCATTAAAATGATGTGGGCAACAGAATCGACATCTCTATGGCTGGGGCAAAGCTCTTAAGTGTTGTTTAGCATTGTTATGACTCTTGTTATTTCTTAATTTATTTTATTAGTAATCCAAAAATGGGGGAAACCTTCCATAATCATGTAATTTACACTTCTTGAAATAATAGTAAYTCCACAAAGAATCACAACTTGCATTCTGATGCTACACATTTTTGGCTGGGTGGAGTTCTTTCAATTGAGTTACATTTTTCTTGATGCAAACAGTATAGTTTTATGCACAATTTTGTGGAAGCAGTTTTATACATAGATACATAAATAATATTGCCAGCATGATGATAATATTGTTGGGAAGAAATCTGTGGAACTGCTTCATTTTGAGCCATATGTATATTCAAATACCTTCTTTAATGCTGTCAGAGACAAATAGAGTTTGGGTATCAGCTTCCTTTACTTTTATTTTTCTTTAAGCAGATTCTTTTTAATGGGTGGGCAACTGTCTTTAGTAGATTCATATTTCTTCTATTAAATTAAATTTTTTATTAACAACAAATGCTGGTAAAAGAATATTTTACCATATTTGCTATAAAAATTATCTTCAAGCATTGTCTTTTCTTTTCTGAGAAGTCTTTCCAGCTTGGGACTTCTCTAAGTGGTGATTGATAAAGTTGTTACGTCATGGTACTTTTTAAGGGGAAAAGAAAAATCTGGCATACCACAAAGGGAGCAGTTCTTGCAGCTCTTGCATTCCTGTTCTTCATTATCTCCTTCTGCTGTCCTGGATTTAATTTGGCAGCTTTAAAAGTTCGGCAGCTGTTTACTATCACAAAAACCCACCCACATGCAAAAGTCCCCAAATCTCAGAAAAATTATGGATGTTAAAAAAAAAAAAAAATTACTAACCAACRCACTCCTACCACGTAATAAAAATACGCAAAACAACAAAAAGCACCTTGAAATAGTCACTGTGTTTGCCAAGTGTGCCAAGTTATGAGTTGTTTTTGTGATGAGGGTCAATGTCAGATTATGGAAAGAATGWTACACACAAGCTGATTTCACTTATAACTTGTGAATGTTGGTTTATTAACTCAGCATCTACATCAGAGTCCTTGTTRTTAACCATATAATTTTGTTTCCCCATCCATCTTAAAATGTAAATTGTTTTRTTCATTTTGCCTATAATTGTAAAACTTGACGGGCCAAATTGAAATGCCTTTTTAATGGTCACATTTCTTTTTCTTACTTCTTAATAGATGACAACTAATATTCCTCCTCCCAGCTTCTGTTACATTCTTACTGTTCAGTCTGGTGAAATACATGTGGAAGTGGATGAGGAAGAACAGATTTCTAATTTGTACCAGCCACCAGCTGTTCATGGTCTAAAGGAAATTCTTCGGGTAATCTGCTTTACAAATCAGATAACAAATACATTTTACCACTGGATTTCTGGTATCATGGCTGTCTCATTCCAAATTTCTGTGCTATTTTCAGATCAGTGGTTGCAATGAGCGGTGTAGCTTCTGGGCCCAAGTGCTCTATCAAAGGCTGCAGGTAATCGTTTTACTTTGCAATGAATTCATAAAATTAAATCAGCATAATGTTTATGTGAAGAAACGTTCATCTTGTCTAGGGGTAACCCCAATTCCAGGATTATCTTTGAGAGCTGTGTGGGCAGAATGATCATCATGTCTAAAATGCTTGTGAAAGGGTAAAACCAACTGCATCTCCAGTTTCAGTGCCATTCGGACTAGACAGCGAATTATCCCTTGAATCAATTGCTGTCTAACCATAGAGAATACTGYGCCCTGGAGAGGGAGCAGGAAGTTAGTGGAGGCTCAGTTTATAGCTAAATGCTCTCCTTAGGAACATAGCGAGAAGCTCCCAGTCAGTTGGATGTTGGGGGATACAGTGGAACAGATGATGGTTATATAAAAATACAGTTTTGCTCTCTTCATGCAAGTGTGTGGGTGATCTTCATTGGCTTCCATAAAAACCCCTCAGGCAAATTTGGCTTTTATGATACAGTAAGAAGTAAAAGGGAGGAACTCTTAGGTAAATACATCTGCCATCCTTACTATGCAGGAAAGCTTATAATTACGTTTTATTTGTTTCTGAATGATACTGCAATGTTCTTTCAAAATGTTACTAACTCCCTTAGTAGTTAAAGGAATTTTTTGTTGCTGATTTATTTATTTTTTCCTGGCGACTGCATCCTCAGTACAGCCAGCACTGAGTTCTAGCAGAGAATAATTTGCAATTGTCCATCAGCTCCACAAGAAACAAAGTGTGAATCAAAGCATATGAACCAAAGACAAAGAAATTCCAGAACGGCCAGCAAAATAGCTGGAGATGCTTCCCACAAGTTTGAGACATAAATTTAATTTAGGTCTTGCCCTTTTGCTTCAAAAGCCAATGAGTTATGGTTTAATTTTTAGGCAGGGAGTGCTTTTAACTACCGAGATGAGGGATATCTCTTGTATTTTCTCCATGCTAACTGAGAATGCAACAGAGCATTTGCAAACATGAAATTAGGGCTAGCTGGATGGGATCTTTAGTGTGCCAGCAGAAAGATGGACACACGCATAAATTCCTATTTCCAAGAAACCTCTTCTACTGAAAATGAAAATAAAATTGCGGACTAGGGGCATCCTAGCCAAACAGTTTGAATTCAGGAATGWCTACATCTGAAATTCTGATGTGGGTTATCAGTATTCTTGTGTAAAAGCACTTCATCACTGAATTAGAGAAAAGATGAAGCATGCAGGAACAGATGTGATTTTGAAGAATGGAATATTGAGTAGCAGAAAAGAAGGACTGGTTTTTTTTCTTGCTACTAGGAAGTTTATTAGGTCTTTTTTTAATGGCTATTCACTTGCTGAACTGTAAGCACTAAATTTTTATAAGTGAACAACATGAGTGCTCATAACTTTTTGTAAGTAATGATGGAAAAGCAATAGAAGATATTCTTCTTATGATTAACTTTCTGGATAACTGCTCTAGGAATGTAAAGAGATTAACCTGCTGTTAGTGTATTACCTGCCTAGTCCTCCCAGAGATCATGAACAGCAGCTTGTATCCTGCAGTTGCCTGTGTCAAGAGGTCATACCCTTCACATGCAAAATCACCAAGTTGTAATAAGTGAGGAAGGGACCCTGATTTGGTTTGTTTTGCAGATTTTTACTACTACTACTATTACTATTATTATTATTATTATTATTATTATTATTATTATTATTATTATTATTATTATTTATAATTGTTGATAAATAATCTGCTAAATGAACTAATTCAGATGTACTTTAAAAAGCAGTATTTACTCTCTGTAGCTATAGTATTAAGTACTTAAATTATTATGACTTAATTTGAGTGAAGGAGGAATGGAAATATGTTTTTATTATTGCTCAGAATCCAAACTGTGGTTCAGAAGGAATATGAGGAAATATATTCCATCTGYGGTTAAGGAGCTGTCCTTCCTTATAACTCAATCCTGCTGCTAGAATTTGTCTGTTGTGTCCTCTCTGTTCAGAACAAATTGTCACACATAGCAAGATGATGATTTTATATTAACTTGTGATTTTTTTTTTTTTGCTGTTATTATTATTTACTTTTTGGATGATTTTTCTGAAAGCCAGCTCTTAATGTGTTAGTCATTCTCAAGGGACAGATGTAAAAATTCTTTCTTTGAAGCTGTCCTAGCATTATCTATGCCGAGGCGGTGCCCAAATGTATGTAGTTACTAGGCAAAAAAAACAACATCAATGCAATAGGCAGCATATGTTGTATTAAGGCATAACTGTGATCTCCAAGTTGTGAATTTKCCCAGTCACTATTTACCTCATTTGCTCTAAGAGCTGCAAGCATGAACAGAAAGCTCAGTTTAGTGTGGCTGATGGTTTCAAGGTTAGAATTCAACCAAAGAAAAAAAAACAGGGGTTCTCGTTGCATTACCTTATGCTAGAGACATTCAGCTTTGAGAGTAAAATGCTATGTGTCTTTCCAGTCATTTCTTTATTTAATTTTCAGTTAGATGTTTTAACCTTTAATTTTTGATCAGCAGACTGATTAAAAAGAGTGACAAAAACATTTTAAATTAATGAAGTACTTTAATCTTAGATATTTTAAAGTATTAGAATCTGAAAATTTGCAAGTTGCTTTTACTGGTAAATATGGAATATGCTTTGATATGATGTACTTAAACCTATCTTGGGCAGAAAACTTATACTTTCATTGCAGATTCCTATATCTCTTACTTAGGAGTTATCTACTTCCTTAATTTTATGCATCATTGGAATATTTAGAGACATTTCTTCAACTGAAAGAAAAAGCTCCAACTTTGCAACTTAGTTATGCTTGGCAATCTGACAACACCTAGAAAATGTGCCTATGGAGGAATAATATTAGTAGTAGCAATGCTCTTTCCATATTTTTTAAAGGCAAAAATTATTTAAGTTTTAATAAAACCATCCAATTAACTTTTTTTATTTACACCATAWATATGATATAAATATATAATGCATGCTTATTATAAAATATATTTTCAAATCCCATGTGCAGTCTAAGTAAATKATGATGAAGTGTGATGGTTGATTGAGGTAAAGCCAAGAGTCCAGAGAGTCAACCTTGGAAAGTTAATTTAAGGTAGAGATTTTAAGGTTAATGTCTACAGTAAGGAATATCAAAAACTTGTAGTAAAGCTTTGACTCATTATTCTGTACTAGCCCTAAATGTAGTACTTGCTGTCAGTTTTATGAGTTATTTAAAATATGAGGATGTTTAGTCTTTCCTTTTACTACAAAAATGTAACAAATGCAGTCCAATTTTGTCTTTTTTTTTTATTAATCATAGACAAAACACAGTATTCCTATAGATCAAAGAGAGATTTTGTTGTTTGTGACTGACTCCACATTGCAAAATGTGGTCCCTGGGATTCCAAAAATTGTTGCTGTGTCCGTCACTGCATCGTGTGTTCTCAGAAGGGAAATCATGGAAGCCCTCAGTGCTGGCTCACGACTTGTCTTCTTCAAGGATGCTCTGTGGGGGAATGGTAAGCTTTGCACGTGGTTTTGAAGTAGTTGGAGTCCCACAGAAATAGCACCCTCATCTATGACACCACAATATGTGGCCTCCAAAGACTTTCATTATCAGATGAAGATGAGACTTTGCAAGTTTGGGATGAGAAATTTGAAAAGGGTTGCCATTAGAACTTCCCTGTAAGGTTTCTTTTTCTGTGTTTTTGGCTTGATCTCCATAGTGAATGAGAAACTCAGTGATGTTGTTGTATGTCCACCAGTATGACTGTCAGTCTTGTCTGATGACTGTTGAATCTGGTGACCAGTGTCAGTCAAATTTGCAAGCTGACAGAAGGCTYAAAAATAATAAGAAACCTGCACATCCGTGGATACAGAAATTTTGTAAGCTCTCCTAAACCATTTTAGCTGCAAGCCTTCACCCCCCAGACGCATAATGAAATTACAGTTGTTCACTTTACTTTCATTTTTAGTCACTCTTTTTTGAGGTTCAGGTTTGGTTCTGTGTGGTGACTGCATGGATACTTCTCATCTCACACCTTCAGTCACTTCCAAAATGTAAGTGAACTGGAAGTACAAGGCTGTGCAAAAAGCTTTGTGTCCTGCAGCAAAAAATCTCTGCTTTGGAGAATAAAGCTTTGCATGCACTTATTCTTTSTAATCTTTGAAACAATGTAGGACCACCTGAAGGGGTGCCCAAGCTTATTACCAGGGAAGACTGTAAGCTGTTTGCAGGGAGCAAGATGTGATGCAGTCTGGATGGCATCAGACTCTCTTCTGGCAWGCTCAATTTTTTTAATTTCTATGTCTTCAAATTCAGGAAACTTCTTCTTTTTCCCAGGAGTTGCAAAGCATAACGAGAGCGTGATACATATATCGCTGAAAGCAAAATGTTTTGTCATTGAGAAAACCTGATGGAGTCTATTCATCTGTTGGGTAGCTGGCAGAGATTGCTGTCTTCATTGGCCGTGACAATTAACATGGTCACCTTTTTCCTTGTTACTGTACTGAGCTGAAATGTCTCTTTTGGCAGGTAGGATTATTTGTGTTGAACGTACTGTTCTCCTGTTACAAAAGCCTCTTTTGTGCTCGGCTGCCGGTGCTGACCTCAGTGAGCTGACTGGCCCTGTCAGACTCGATGAGCTGGATTCTACAACACAGGCCAACTCCGTTTGTGCTCTCAGAGGTTCGTGTGGCCTTGCCTGAAATGAATGCGGTTAATTATTTGTGCTCACTTTAATCTTTTGTGTCTTTATATTGATTTCTTGCACAAACAGCGCGGAGGGATAAAAAAAGCACAGCATTGCTGTGGGTCATTAGGATATTTAAGATTTTATGCTGCTTTGTGGGYTCTGTTTGCCTTTAGCTGGCCAAGCTCTGCTCCCACTCACTCATACCCCAGAATAAATGTTTAATGCACAATCTGTTTCATTATATTCCTTCCTTCACTGTCTTCTTTCAGGATCCTTCTGTTCACACCAGCCTTRTTGATGTTGGCAGCAGTGACTTATACCAATATTTTTTAGGCAGATGGATAAGATATGTTACCCAGATCTTCASTGGAAGGGGTTAGTGACTGATTTCCCTGGAGCTTTGCTGCAGTAGGACAATTTATTATTTTACCATAGTAATTTAGCATAATGTGGCCAGTATTTTCTCACCAACTACTTTGGATCATAGCTTTGTCTAATATCTTGGTCTTACCACTAACCATGCAGAAACATTTCTTACAACATATTTTCTAGTGTTTCCAAATCATGCAGAAACATTTTCTACTGTGTGTTTTCTAATGCTTTGTCCAGACAGCTTCTTCAACCTCCCAGTTGTACAGTGCCTGTAGGAAAAAGTCCTTAAAGGCCCAACAACTCTGGCCTTTAAAAGCTATTTCCTTCCTAAATTTAACTCTTATTATTCCGGTAGCCCTTGTAGAAAATTCTTGATACAATTTTGCATTTACACCTTCAGGTATTCACTGGAGCATTTGAAACGAACTTTAAAATTACAACTAATAACTGTTTTCAAATCAATTCTTCAGCTATAATATGGACTGAGGATGAGAGTTTGAAACCAAGCAAAGCCTTTACTAAACATACCTGCTGCTATGGTAGGGCCACAACCTAGCAATGCCTCTGTGATTAATTACTGAGCACCTTGAAGTGACTAATGCTGAACAGTGCATAATGAAAACCAAGCACAACTAGAGGCACTTCACTCAAGGCCTTGGTTGTTATGGACATCTTKCATTGATATAGCTATTAGAAAGATACTTCTGTCAGTGGGTGTGAAATGCTTTTTGACTTTTCTTTTTAGCCTGTCCAGTAGTTATGCTAGGAATGGTCACTTCCCTGGTGTTAATTTTCTAAGTATGAGAAGTGCCCGTCTTCTTTTTTTCTTGTTGACAGTGTGCATAGTAGGATAAAGCAAACATTTCTCTGTCCTTTCTTTCTCCAGCAGAGCAAAGAAAGTACACCTTTGTGATCTGTTGTGTAAACAAGTACTTACTTTACACACATGGGAGATGTCATGCTTTGCCTGTACTGTATTAGAGACAGAAGAATAACAAAAGGAGAAATTAATCCTGCAGCCTAGTCTTGTTTAATCTGGAATTTGTGCAGGGTTGCTGTTATCAGTATGTTCCCACACCTGAATACCAAAACAGAGYATAAAGTATCTTCTTTATACCTATGCTACTGCAATATACAGATGCCAGCTCTCACTTTTGTGTGTACTGAAATAATTTAATAGCATTCTAGAGATATATTCACTGTTTTGGATTTCAATTAGTTAGTGTCTGCATCTTTCTGCTGAAGTAGATCTTTCTGCTCCATTATCTAGCTCTGGGATAAATGGAGTGTGTTGCTCTTCAACAGATGAGTGAAAACCTGTGGTTGCTTTCTAATGAAAAGTTTGTTCTTCATTGCAAGGTGAATCTGTGGGTTTTTCACCTGTGATCTTAGGGTTAACAGATTTATGGTAATTTCTGCCCTCTTTTTGCTGTATAGTAGTAGTCAGGATGACTTAAATGYTGGCAGTTCATATGGCACAGAATTGTTTCTCCTCTTAGTCATTATTTGAGCAAATTCTACTTAGTCTATACCACATATGATACGTGGGAATGTTACTTGATTAATGATATTTGCCTAAGTATATGACTCAACACCAGTGATTGAATTTTGACGTTGGATATTTTCATATTTAAGCCTTTACTCAGAGGTAGGGTTTTTTTTTTCCATTTTCCTCTTAATAGTGTGAGAAAAAAATGGGATCAATCAGCTTTCCTAGATTTAATTTTTTGATTAAATTTGTTGCCTTCCTTTCCTGTCCCATTAATCAGGGTAACTGATTGGGGAAAAAAAAATCCAAAGCAACGCTTCCAATTTTTAATGTTCCAACCAGTGTTCCTTTGCATTCCACATGGGAGACCTGTTTTTCCAGGTGTTGTCCTGTTGTCAATCTCTTCTTAATGGTGCCAGCCACAACCCATAAAAACAGACTAGAGGTAAAAATCGGCTGTGTGCATTTCCATTTAAAAGAAAGATCTTGGGAAAATATCCAGAAGTTTTGTGTATGTCAAGCAAAATCTAGAGTCTTGAAAAAGATGTGCAGCAGTTCAGCAGTTTAAATTTGAGAAATCATATTGCCTACAGGATGCACAAGACKGTCACTAGATCATGACACCTGCTGCTTGTTGAGTTGTTCTGACTTCAGTGATCTCTGGTGGTTTTCTCAAGGGAGCTGTACATTTTTATCAAAATAATCCTCAGCACTGCCACTCAGTTCGGTGTCATCTGCAAACTGAAGGTGGACTCGATGCAGATTATTGATAAAGGTATTAAACAGGGCTGGCCCCAATACTGAGCCTTAGGGAACACCACTGGTGACTGGCCACCAACTGGATTCAGTGTTCACATCATCCAAAGAGAAACATACCCATGGAAACTCCCAGTTTATCACAAACAGTGAAGAATCAAAATTACTCCTCTCCTCTAATCCTCTAAGAGTCCAGGAATTTAAATAGAATTGCTTATTTTGTGAGTGAAATGCTTGATGTTTTGTTGTACACTTGGAAATCAATTCATAAATGTATTTTGAGAAGCAGCTTTCCAGATCTTCAGACTTGCTGTCCTTTGAATTCCCAACGAAAACTACAGTGTTGTTGTTTAGGTGCAGATGCCTYCTTGCCCAGGAGAACCAGAAAAGCAAGGGATTAACACCCTGTCTTACAGTCCAGACACTGTAAATGCTCCATAGTCTCCAAGACTTTCTTCTATTGAATGTGGTGTAGAACTGTGAGCTTCTTGCTCAATAGGGGCTGGATGTTTTAGTCTGCAGTTCTGTTGTACTTAGTGAGGGTTTATTTTAGTGTAGTTTGATTCTCACAGGTGAATATTTTTCTCCATAAATAATGCTCATAATTTCAGCATATTGTTACCATAAAATATAATACACTCTTTATTGGTTTCTCATAAAATTCTGGATATATTTTTTCTTGCCAAAACTAGCGAGGCCCTTTTTATTAGTCCAAAGTATCTTTGGCATTCCTTTCTTACGCACACACTTAAGACTGTGAGCCAGATCTAATCTCTGTTAAATCAGTATAAATGAAGAATAACCCCATTGTTACTGGAATTTAATCTGGATTGTTGTTTTCTAAAGRGATTGGGACTTCTCATTCGTTTGTATTTTCTAAATATCAATATCAAGCTATTCAATCTGATGATTTTTATAGCTGTTTCTTGCCAAGAAAACATCTTGGCAGATCAGAGGACCTGAAAGAAAGCAAACAAGCAAAAACAAATCTGGAAAGGGATAAAATCCAAACCAAAAGAACTGAATCTGTTTGGAAAGTTAATTGTCAATTATCTACTTTCTGGTATTTTAAGAATGTAACACTCTGCTGTGYTTTTATCCCTTGTTGGAGGGACGAAGGAGGAAGGGAGTGCGATTGTTGGAAGAGCTGATTCTTGCACTGACAAGTCTTAAGCTRTGGGTCAGAAAGTCTCAAACCAGCTGAGAAGCCAAGAGTGCCTGTGTTTGCTGGCTTCACGTTGGCATTTTGTAAGAATTCCATGTTCTGCAGGTACCGTAGTTGGAGTTAATGAGAGCACTGCTTTCTCCTGGCCTACCTGCGACAGATGTGGCAATGGAAAGTTGGAACTGTGTCCCCAGGACAGGTGAGAGTCAGCATGCTCCAGAGCACTCCAGGTGTTTTGTAGGTGTAGCCATAACAGCAGTAGGTGATGCAATGATTCCTGCAGGCACAGGCTGCACTTTGCTCCTTCCTAGAACTAAGACGTAGTATTTTTATTGCTGATGAACTGATAAAACCTGCAAGGTTACATTAATTTAAATTAATTTATTAAGAAAGATACAAGTAGATATGAAATGGTTTGATTTTGCAGTTATTACTTATTTTTAAACCAATCTTRCTTATAAAGGTTTGATAGCCCACTGCATCATAATAGTACTTCTAATAAGTATGCACATAAACCACAGGTTTGACTTTTAACTTCCTTTAAAAGTAGCCATGTGTGTTTGTGTGTCTTGCCTTTTAGTCTGTGTAACCCAAATTCACCTCATTTTTATACTGGACTGTGATCTCTGCTGCAATTTATCTGAGTATGAAGGAGTTGCATTTCAGACCTATTAAATCAGTCACCTTCCTAAAAAAGATGTTGAATAATTCTGGCAGTATGTCTGTCCTGAATGTGAAGAGTGATCCTACAGGATCTACTTCCACCTGAAATGCTGAACCTGTGTGACACTGACATACTTCTGGAAAGCCTCCCCTGCAGCTGCCTAGCCGGCTTGTGCTTGCAGAGTCTGAGATACCTGATGGAATAAAAGAGAGGGAGGGAGGGAGGGAGGGAAGGAAAGGAAGGAAGGAAGGAAGGAAGGAAGGAAGGAAGGAAGGAAGGAAGGAAGGAAGGAAGGAAGGAAGGAAGGAAGG